GTGCAGCCAAATAAAAATGTATCTGGAAGCTGCAGTGGCTGCAGCATCATTAATTCTTATTAATACCTTGGTTTTCCAGATAACTGTAATAGTGATATTGTAGGTCAGTATTGCTTTGTGTCTGTATAGAACCTTTCATCTAACAGACTGTACAAGTAATTCCTGAATTTAACTATTTGATGTACAAGCTGTATGCAGAGATAATCTATACCAGGGATCAAAACTAGTACCTGTTCAGCACTATACAGGACAAATCTGGTACAGAAAATGGCAAAACATTATGGAGTCTTTAGCTTAGTTTGCAAGGGTAGTTGGTGTTGGTAGGATAGTTATGCTGGTCAGAATTTTATCTGCTGGTTGCAAAGGTCGTACTAGTTCTGAGAATAAAATACAGGATCAGTATAGGGTTACAATACCACCTATAGAGTCTGCACTAGGAGTGCATGGGGGCATTTGCTTAGTGCTAGCAGGCGAAGGTAGCATCTCCTTCTGGCCTGTCATCACTGCTTTCTATTAAGCAGTGTTCGTTTCTACTTATGAGCCTCTTCTAGCTGAGGTATTCTCTGTGGCATTTTGTTCCAAGTATCAGTCCATTCCAGCTCTGCTTATTTTATGAAATGTAGCAGAATGGTGCCTCACAGCACGGTTCTGGCTATCAGCTAAGAGAACTTGTTTTTTTCCCCTTTCTAGAAGCACTGGGAGGCAGGGAAAATCCTCTCTATGAAACTGTTTTTTTTATCTGCCTCCAAACTTTGCTGGTGTGTTGAAGTTTGACTTGCCGATTTCTCTGGCTGACTTGAGTGTGATACTTAAACTGAATGATGAATAACTTATTTTTGCAGGCTTCTGTGCAATGTGGAATTTACTGATGATTCCTGGCTCCTCACTGAATCTGATAATTACTGCTTGTTTAACTGGTGGTTGATTTGCACCCTTGGGAAACCTAATATCTCTAAAAATGACAGTGCAGAAACTGCAGTCTTAATGATTTGCTTTTCATTTTCCAGTTTTTGTAGGCTTTCATTTATGACCGTCAACTAGACCACCAGAGCACTGGACTTCAAGCTATGGCATGCGTGTGTGCAACAGCAAAGGCGTGCATCTGTATGTCAATTTTAAACAACAGATGAACAAACTCATGTATTTTAATTTTAAGTATTGGGGGGTGAGGAGGTGTTGCTGAAACTTGCTTTGAGTTGTCACACAGGGGATTTAATCCAACTAACAGCCATTGCAATGGGTGATGGATTGTATTGGAAATAAAGAAGTAGGGTACATTCCTGGTTATCTCTGCTGGCTATTGTTAGTTTAGGGTTGGAGATGGTTAATCAAGGGAGATGCTTCTAAAGCCGGAGTGTGCTCTTCTGGATACAATAGCTGAAACTAAGGAAATAATTTTTACTGACACTCCACTTTCTCACCTGGTAAATGGTTTGTTTATTATGATCCAGCCTCTGACTTTTGTAGCTGGCCCATGCACTAAGCTGGCAAATACCAGTGTTCACCAGTTAACTAAATTAAGTCCGGGTCACGTATCTCATCTCCTGTTTCTTGTTTGCTTTGAATGAATCCGAAAGTAGTGCTAACAGCTGGAATCTCTGCTGAGGCCAGTTTGATCTGCTCTGGAGCTGCTCCAGCCAGTGCTCTGATAAAGCTTGATATCATTTCAACAGGCTCTAGGAGGACCAGAATGATTTCCCTTCATTGTTTAAGGTTTCATTCAAATATTCGCCATGCCAGGAAAAAGGATATTTCACTTCTGCTGTTCTCCGTTAGCTGCTGCTACTAGAAAACTCCCCCCCCCCCTTCTTTTCTTAAAGTTAAGCTAGAGCATGGCCAGTGCTTTTGAATTCTGTGGGAATTGTTCTACTTCTTTATCCCCGGGGACTCTGTGCACTACAGATGCAAAAGGTGCACGCTGCAAATAAATAAATAAATAAATAAATAAATAAATAAATAATGCATCAATGTCTCAGAGTCAAAGCACATGTTCTGCTAAGAGAACATATTACATGGTGGAGGCAGGGAAAGCTCTGGCATCTGCCCAGATTTCAATAGTAAGTAAAGCACCTAAATCCCTTTAAGGACCTGGCCTGCAGTCTGTTATTCTTCAGCAGCTTTTTGATTGTCCCATTAAAAAACAGTAGTATTGGACTGATTCTTAGGCAGCTCAGTGGTTTTGGAGTAATGTCTAACTTCAAAGAGAGTCTTCTCTAAGGCATCCATGATTTTGTGTTGTACATCAACTTAGAAGGAGGTATTGTCAGTTGACAGTTTTACTCTCACCGTGCACCATCCCTCTGGTATGATTAGCAGAGCCTTGCTGAGCCAGGCCTTGTGCTGGTGGTGTAGGTGTGCAGCATCCTGGCAGCAGCTGTGTTTGCTGCAGAGAAGAGTGCCCCTGTTCCCTGTCCCCTATGCTGCTGTGCGGGGTGATGTAGAGGAAATTGGGGGGTAAAGTTTAGTCTGGGAAGAGGGGAGGGGTGGGGAAGGTGATTTTAGGATTTGGTTTATTTCTTGTTACCATACTCTGGTATTATATTAATATTTTCTCCCAGGTTGAATCTGTTGTGCCATTCTGCATTGCAGGTGCAGTTGACTTGCAGTTTCCATCCAGTTTATGCCCATAACAAACCTGTTTCAGCACTAGGCTGTAGGCTGGCCCTTACTGCTGTTACCAGGCTATCAGTGAAATAAAAGTAAAGCTGCAGAACAGTTTGTAACACCAGAATGACAGTAGAGCAGACAGGTCTATGGCAAGGCATCTAGCCAACTGCCAGGCATGATGGAAGAGGGCTTATTACTTAGAATTAAAGGTACTTACTCTTGTTCAGCATAATCTCCTGCCCCCGAAGGCCACTAGCCCTCAATCAGCTGTGTCCTCAGGTGCTGGAGTAAGGAGCAGGCTCTTGTGACTTAGTGCTGCCTGCAGGTACTGTTCTGCTGGTGCTTGTGGGGAGGGCAGAAAGTCAATTCATACATGATTTGAAATGCAGAGCAGTATTTTTGCAGCAATACAGATACACCTGTCCTAACTGGCCAGCTCCTGTGAATAGATTTTGGTTTTGGTAACCAGGGATTGGTTGAAGGGATTTGGTCAAAGGGATGCAGTGTGCTGGCTGGCAGTAACTTCTGTGCTGGTGTTTGTTGGCACAGTAAAATTACCTCTGTCATATGATCAGTGTGTGCTATACTCTGGCTGGTCCAGTGTCCTGTGAGAGCAGCATGGCTTTAGAATGTGCTTGGAAGCAGAAAACAAGACCTGGGGTTCCTAAATAAAAATAACAGTTGCTCTTGCCTATACAGTCAGTCTTTGGTGTTATCAACTGTGCTTGGCAGGTTGTGCCAAGGGAGGGCAGGTCATGCAAGTGTTGCACAATTGCATCTTCATTTCTTGGAAAGGCACGTACAATACTCTTGTATCCAAAGTTGGGATGTGATGGTCTGGGTGGATGGCAAAATAGATGGGTAAAAAAATGGTTGGATGGTTGGGCTTGGAGAGTGGTGCTTGATCAGTTGTACTATACCCAGAGGCTGGTAACAAATGGAGTGACACAGGGATTTCTCATAGGACCACTATTATCCATGGATGGTAGAGTGCTCTCTCATCAAGGGTGGAGATGACACCAAACAGGTGGGACCAGTTGATGCACTGAAGGGCAAGGCTGCTACCAAAAGGACCCAGGGGGGCTGGGGGGAACAGGGCAACAGGACAAAGGCAAAGTCCCCCCTTGCAGCAGTAAAGGCTGGGGGCTGCCAGGCTGGGGAACAGTTCTGCTTCTAGGGGAGCTGGTGGTCTTGGTGGGCAGTGAGCTGAACATGAGCCTGCAGTGTGTCCCTGCAGAACAGCTTCCAAGACAACAGGCACAGGAGCCAGACTGAGGGGAGTGATTATTGCCCTCAGCCCTGGGGAAAACACATCTGGATACTGTGTCCAGTTTTCCAACTGAACTTAGACAATATCTTATTGCTCTTTCTGCTAATACTGGAAAGCAATCAAAGGAGATGTCAGAGGAGTGGGAACAAGATTTCGGTTATCACAGCTTTAGTAAACTCCATGGCAGGTGACTTGTACCACTACTAAGTAGTTCCAGTAGTGAAGAAATTATTCTGAGAACAAGGATCTGGATCCCTACCAGTTTCACCTGCTCTTGCATTGCATCCTGCTTAGATTGCTAGTGGTGTCAACTCAAGTTTAATATTTTTTTGCTGTAGAAACTCTCTTAAGACCTGTTGAGCATCATGTGGTTTGAAGTAATTAATGTTAGGCTTATCTCATTATTCAAGGTGAAATTTAAACAACCCGTGAATTAAGCGATTGTATCAGCAAGTCTGAAGATGATCAAAGAGAGAAGTATGTGTCTGAAAGCTGCTTGGTTAGTTCTGTGGCTCAGTCCATGAAAGCAAACACCCACTGCCCTGCGCAAACATAGTTCAAAGGAGCTGCAAGTTTTTGCAGACTTTGCTCTATGGACTTTTACCCACACCTTCTGGGGACCCTCATTTTGTGTCGTACCATAGAGATGTATTAGATGGGGACTGAAAATATGTATAGAGAAGCATGGTGGTAGTAAGGCATGACATCTTGAGATTGCTTTCTATTTTCATTAAGACTTGCAAATCAGTTTTGCAACGACTGCTCATCATTAGAAACCCAAGCAAACTTTAGCTGAGACTGCCTCAGAGTCACATAGTTTGTAGAGAATAAGCTTGTACCATACATAGTGTTTTAGTGCTTTTCTTTTTCTTTTCCTCCAACTTTTATGATATATATAGTGAAATATGAAGTATATTTCCAGTTTGGAGTTTCACATGGGCTTACTCATCCAGTGAAAGAAGCTTGCACAAAGATACTTTTCTGGCGGTGTCCGCTGTAGGTTTTGGTTCATTGTTGAAAAATACCAAACCAAATTGGTGGTGGAAGGATACTTGGCAAAGACAGACTGGAGGTGGGCATCTTGCTGAACTTATTTTTTTTACGATCTTTATCTTTTATTCAGGCTATGGTCGCTTGCTATCCTGGAAATGGAACTGGGTATGTTCGTCATGTGGACAATCCAAATGGCGATGGTCGCTGCATCACCTGTATTTATTACCTGAACAAGAACTGGGACTCCAAGGTAAGCCACAGGCAGAAGGAAAAACTGCAGAGCTTTGGTGCCGTCAGTTTCTTCTGTGAGCTCTGAACTTTTGAACAGCTGATCCATTCTCCATCTCTACATTTATTTTCTTGGTGATTATGGCAACCCTTAGAAAGTAAGAATCTGAACTGTTGCCTTATCATTCTCTCTCCCATCCCACACAGTGTTGTTGGTATAGAATAAAGATTCTAAGCATTGAGCTGCTGGCTCTTACACTTTGTTTAGAGGAAAAAGCAACGAAGCACTAGAAGGAAAAACATAATCTGCTAAAGAATAAGTGGATACTGGGACCAGAATAAAATGACAGCCCAAATTTGGGACTTCAGCATTTTTGGTACCATTCCTTCAGGCTAACCTGCAGAAGATCTTCAGGCAGTTGCCTTTGTGGTTTTCTTACTTAGAAGTGATGGAGCTTAGTAAAAGGAGCAAGCACATGGTTTTTCCTCTTCATCATCTTTGACTCCACCAATGGGTCTCCTGACAGGATGGTGCTCTTAATTCTACCCTAATTACTATGAGCAGTAAAATCAGCCTTGAACTTACTGTGCCTTTATGTTAGAAGCAAAATAAGGGTTTGTAGAATCGCAGGATGTCTCTTTACACTTCTGTTGTCATAATGTGGCACAAACCATTCACATGGGTTATCTATTGAAATTTGCCAAATGTTTTTTCTCTCTAACCTGTCTTGGCCACTTTAGCCTCCACATCGAGGCTCTTTTAGCACACGCAAATACTGTGAACCCCCAGAAGAGAGTTCAGATTCAGAGGCAATGCCACTGAAAATACATTGTTTGAAAAACACATTCCTTTACTGACAGTATGGCAATGAAGCATCTCAATATAATAAAATGAGGAGATGTGGGAGGAAATGTAAATATCCAGTTTATTTTGTGCACTGCTCTTATTCTAACATTGAGAAAGCACACAAGTGGATACTGAAAAGTCCAAATTGAAATCCAGGATGCTGGTGAAGAGTATTTTATGGGTATGAGGGCAATTTTATGCAAATGTATGCTGGAGGAGATGCATACTGGCCTTTGAAAGTAACCATGTTGCCTTATATAGAGAAGGGCCACAAAGACTATTGGTGGGCTGAAGCAGCTTTCCTATGAAGACAGGCTGAGAGAGCTGGGCTTGATCAGATCAGCCTGGGGAAGAGAAGGCTCTAGAAGACCTTATATCAGCCTTCCAGTAGCTAAAGGGGGCCTACAAGAAACCAGAAGAGAGACTTTTTGCAGGGACATGTAGTGACAGGACAAGGAGTAATGGCTTTAAGCTGATAGGGGTAGATTTAGATTAGACATTAGGAAAATCTCCAATGTGAGCAGGGTGAGACATTTGAAAGATTGCCCAGAGGAGCTGTGGATGCCCCATCCCTGTGAGTGTTCAAGGCCAGGTTGGATGGGATTTTTGACAACCTGTTCTAGTGAAAGGTGTCCCTGCCCGTGACAGGGGGGTTGGAACAAGGTGATTTTTAAACTCTGTTCCAACCCAAACCATTCTATGATTCTGTGAAACCTGATCTAATAGTTTCTTGCTGAGGTTTCATGCCATGTGGAGGTCCGAAGTTAGTTTGGTACTGTGTGACAGCATCTTCCCTGCACTATGTGGTGCAGCATAAAAGCCTACAAAGATCCCTCTCACAGCAGCAGGAGGGAGGCAGAGTTCATCTGCATCTTTTGAAGTTTCTGCAGTGAGTGCAAATCACCGGACTTCTCTGAAAACTCATGGCACATTGAAAAAGAAATTAGATGGTAGAGAAACTAGGCTATGTCACAAGTAGGGAAAACACTGTCTGGCAGATATAATACATTTATGCGAAATTTATTACAAATCCAACAGTAGAACAGACTTCACTCTTCCCAGGGTGTTAAAGTTAACTCCTACATGATCAGATGCAGGCACTGAAATATCCTAAGCAGTATCTAGCAATAGCTGGGAGGAGAGTCTGATCTCAGTCTGATCAGGTGGAGCAGCCTTACCTGCCTTGTGGTATTCACCGGTTCTGGAGATGTGACTTGGAGCTCCAAGGTTTCCCAGTGCTTGTTACAGAGCCAGTGTTGTCTTTTATCTTGGTTCATTTACTTTAGCCAGATGTTTATGCTGAAACATTACAAACTGTTTGGGAAAATCAAGGTGGCCAAGAGATTCAGTGTATGGTTTTCCAGTGTTGTCACGTAGCTGTCTTGGTTCTCATTAGACGTTTATTCCCCATTTGTTGGATGCTGAGGAAGAAGAAATAAGTCATTGTTCACATGAATACATGTAAAAAGCAATCTTTCCTTTTCTTTCAGCTTCATGGTGGAATTCTCCGGATATTCCCAGAAGGAAAGTCCTATGTAGCAGATGTTGAGCCAATTTTTGACCGATTACTTTTTTTTTGGTCAGATCGAAGGAACCCCCATGAAGTTCAGCCTTCTTATGCAACCAGGTAAGTAGCATATTTAGTATTGACATTTGGCCAGGGAAAAACAAAGCATCTGTTCTACCTGTATCTGTATCTAAAATTATGGCCAGGTTTTTTTTTGGTTTTTTTTTTTTCTTTTTCCCCATACACGTGTGTAAGAAACAGTTGGATAGATTTTGAGTGGATTTTCTGGGTTTGAGTCACTGTGAATTCTCTCTTCAAATGAGGAAGAACAAGCTTGAATGATAAGGTTCCGTGTGTGATGGGAAAAAAAGCCGTTTTACTGTTGACAGGAGAAATATTCCAAGCCAGGCATAGCTATTTATCTGGGAGATGCTGGGTTATACTTTTGCCCTTGTAATGCTATAGGGATTCTTAAGGCTACCATCTGTCAACAGGCTATGAAAAGCCAGTGTGATGCAGGGCAGCCCCCAAGTTGCCTACAGGCATCCCAGAAGAGAAAACCAGGCAAAGGTCTGTAAGCTACTTTTGTCCTCTGTTACCAGGAGTTGTGCAATCTTTTGTGCCTCTAAGCAGAAATTCTCACCTATATTTCTATCTTACTTGATGATAAAATCCACATTTAAAATGCTTTCTATATTTGTCTATACAGATGCGCCATTTGCATCCTATTTTTTATCTACTAATACAGGTTTATTGTTTGCTTTCTCCATAAGCATAAAACTATTTTAATAGCAAAAGTTGAAACAAACACAAGATTTCTTTCTTTTATAGATATGCCATGACTGTGTGGTATTTTGATGCTGAAGAAAGAGCAGAAGCCAAAAAGAAGTTCAGGAACTTAACTGGTATGGTTGTTTTATAAGTGTTCACCAGAAAGAATTTAATGCATTTTGATATTTCTGAAGTCAGAGACAGACTAGGAATAACGCTCTAGTTAGATGGGTTATGACATTCTTTTTTAGAAAGCTTTTTTATCTCTAACCACTAGTCAGTTATTTTATGCAAAGTGGAGAAGTTGTGACAGAAGAAGAGTCAGCCCTAACCTCAGTATTCCTCATGAGTATGATGGGGGAGAAAACAGGAAAGGCAGTTTCCAATTTCTGTCACAAATGGCTGCTGAGCTTTTGTCCTGTCCTATGTGGCTGTTGCAGTCCCTTGAGAAGACCTAAGCAAATCTTGTTACTTGGGAAGTATATTTTGTCTCCTCCAAAATTAGTTTAGCAGAAAGTCATGAGACTACACAAACAGTTTCAGCATCATGTTCTCTAAATATTCTGGCTGAGTAGGACCTATCTGCAATATGCTTAATGAACGGCATTTGGGGCCTGCAGTAATGCAAAAGTGATTTGTCTTTAATTTACAAGTAATTTTCTGAGTGGGGATATTCATAATGACCTGGGAAAGTACAGATTATGAATTGGGAAGAAACTAAGTTTAGAAATAAATGCATCTTTTAGCAGGCAATTGCTAGTGTAGCTGTGATTATGGTGCACTTCAGAAGCTATGTACATTCAACTGGGTCTCACAGGTGGCTGAAAGTCAGCCCAGAGACACTTCATCAGAAGCCCTGGAAAGAGGTGACCCCAGCTTTCCTAATGGCAACCATACTGCCTGCTGTTGTAGTAATGGCATGTGAGTAACGGACTAAGTTGTCCGTATGTGTTTCAACACCCTAGTTGGTGCCATTCTCAAGGGTTTGATGTTTGAAGCAGACTAAGATCAGGGACTGCTTCAGGCAGTTCCAGAAATACAGTGTGGAGAGCACTGGTATTTTTTAAAGGTATGTGCTGTGCAGCTGGACCAGCAAAGTTGTTATTAGTCAAATGCTTTTCAGAGCTGGCTGTTGTCATCTCTGTAGCTGGTATGCAAAGCAAATACTGGCTTCACCCTTTTAAAAGGGGATCATGAGCAAGGGGCCATGAGTGTGTGTCTGTAAATATAACCGATCTGGAATCTGAATGTTTCTTAGTCTACTTAAATACTGCATGAATTGTCTTCAGTTTCAACAGGACAAATACACACAACTTTGGTATGACTGTCTCCTTAACATGCTGTGGATTCATACAGTATTGCACTCTATGTAATGAATTTATATCATGAGTGTGAGTTGGAGAGTGCTGTCCACTGAAAACAAACTTAACTTTATTCTGTTTCTGAGTTTTCAGTTGAATGCTGTCAGAACTCTTGGCTTAACAGCCTCTCCTTTTTGTCTTTTCAATGCAGATGCAAGGAAGAGAGAAGCACCTCTTAATGAAGACTAATAACTGTTCCTGAACAATTTGTGAGGAAATAAGATCCCAAAGATGACTTCCATTTCCAGCGAACAAGGGCAAATTCTTGTTATGCACGAGAACACACTGGTTGTGTCTAGCATGTGCATCTTACACTGATGGTACTTACGGCAGCCTTCTGTCATGCGTGCATCTAGTAGAAGGAGCACTTGTTTTCTATTTGCCTTTTGCTGGAAAAAGTAACCAGGGTTAAAGAAAAAGAGTATCAATAAGTAGTGGCTCAGCTAACTGGCTTTTGATCACTCTTGTAGCCAAGATAACATTGGAACTAGTGATAAAATGCTGAGTCGTATTTGCACTTTATGTTGGGAATCTAGCTCAATGGGAAGGAGCTTTACAAGTTTAAAATCTGTGGCAGACTGCTATTGGATATCTGGAATTTTGGATAATTGGAATTGGATATTGGAAATCTGAAATTGATTTGGATCTTTGTAGAGTGTCATCTTATGGTCTGTCCCCTGTGGGCCTGTTGATGTACTGTTCATCACTTTGCCATGCAGAGCATTGGCTCAGCTTTTTGATAGCATGACTTTCCAAACAAATTTTTGTCTACACAGTCATTGCATTTCCTGGAATTTGTTTGCTTTTCAAGAGTCAAGTTCTAGCTGTGCAGTTGCACTGCCCTTTCTGTCCCAGGATGGAGGGGGACTTAGTTATGCATCTGTCCATGACTTTGTAAAACCATTTCCTTCCTGTTCTGAGTGGGATGGGTTGTATTTTCATGGTTTGGTAAAGGAGCTGTTTTCTCCCAAAAGTTTGGTGAACTTGGAAGGCTGATGGCACACAACGTGTTAGCACTAAAGGCCAATGATACATAGAATTGTTATTTTCATGACTTCTCCATCTACTATGTTTTGTACGACACAGACATGAATCTGAAAGGAAAAGTACGTCTGGCTGTCTGACAAGTGTATGATAAATAGTGGGTAACTTAGACTTTATTTCTGTGCTGCTTATCCTTAGTTAACACACTTGTTTAACTTCACATGTGTATGTAATTTACATGAAACAGCAATTCTGTTTCAACAGATCTGTTACACCAGATAACTACTTCTGCTGTGCCCAAGCTGTGAGATCAGTTATCAAATGGCAAAGCACAGGTTTTTGGGTTTTTTTGTCTCCATTTTTTTTTAACTTATTAGACTCAAAGTGTTACTGGTGAGCTATCTCCAGTCTGCCTAAGCTTCTATGACCAGCACTATGCAGTTCAAAATAGCTCTTAATGAAGCTGGGAGCTGGCAGTGGTTGTATTTATGACTCACATAATTGTTCTCAACCTAATGCACAAGACAAAAATGAATGCGAGTGAGTGTGTGTCAGACCCTACTAAATGTTCCAGACAGATGCCCTCTTCAGTGCTCTGTGTTGCTGTGCCACCAGCCTGCAGTGGGAAAAGTGGTCTGTCTGAACTGCCAGCCCCTGCACTACTTCACCACACAAAGTCAGGCTGTTGTGGTAGTGATGGGTCTGCAAGCTAGCTCTGTTGCACTTCAGCTGGGGAATGAAAAGGTAGCGTGCAATGGCAACTATTAAACATCAGTAACAGAAGGGTAATGGCTGCTTAGGACAGAAAAAATACCCCAAAACTTTCATGACATAACAAATGTTAATAGAAGTGGAGTTTTTTTTTAGCAGTTCTGTCTCTAAAGAGGGAGAGAGAGAGAAAAAAAGAGCTGGGCATCCTTCAGCCTATCCTTGAATTTTGAATGTAAGTATAGTAGTGCTAAGAAACCCCTCATTCTCTCTGGCTTCTCCCAGAGATCCAGCTATGGTCTTACGGGCTGGACTTACTTCCACCTGACCATTATGCACCTTAAGAGAGCAATATGAGGGAACATGTAACATATATTCTTACAATTCAAGACTAGAAAAAGGTGAATAATCTGATAAATGTCCTTTAATGTTAGGAAAAATACTATTCTACTACAGTTGCTTCTAAGTAACACAACATAGACTTGAACAAAACTTGACAATAACTTGAAATTCTCATTCTGCAATGTTCATGTGGGAGGAGAAGGAGTTAAGGCTCTTCCCTGAGAGTGAGACAACCCTCTGAAAGATGGGAGGTGTTGAAATGGGGGGCTCACAGGATTATTATTTAACAAATGGGGTGGGTGGGGAAAGCTGACCTGTTCTATTGCTATGCAAAGTTGAAAATGGCGTGTAAATTTAACTCTTCTACACGATTATAAAAGGGGCAAAGACAGCTAAACCAGAGCAGAGCAAGGCTTGTTTTGCTGTTAGAAACTGTAACCTTAAAAAAATGCACTAGAAAGAGATGTTGGTACACATCTCCCTGGAGCCTAGAACAGCAAAAGAGCAATGAGGTGGGTTTGAAAGGTTGAAAGGTACTTCAGTTACCACTAGCGCTACCACCTGGCTTCAGCAGTGGTCAGCAACATGTATGTGGTGGATAGAGCATGGAGCAGTATAGATTCATTTATTGTAAATAAAGTACACATTTTCATTTTTAACCAATATATGTCTGATCTAGGTAGAGCAGGAAACAATTATTCTGTGGCAGAGAGCGGCATTTCTTTATTAACAAATATAATTAAGTACAAAAAAGTTGAGGGTACAGGAGTTTGCAAACAGTTCCTCAGCTCTCTATTCTAGCCCTTTATCCTGTTTCCAGATCAGTGGGATGATCTCCTTGAAGATGTTGTAGGTTAATGGGGGCGAAAGGGTACTGGTCATGTAGGAATCCACAAGCTTGATGTTTTCTACACAGATTTCTCATCTGTCTCTGGAATTGTTGCAAGCTGTTCTGAAGAATGATTTTTTTTCTGAAGAACTCTGGGAGAAGCAGGTTGCTGCTGTAGGGAGCGCATTTCAAGGAGACTTTCCCTTCCTTGTGTTTTGTCTTCGTGGCAAACTGTTTAAAACATCTATGGCTAAACAGCACTTGTCACCCAGTTGTAAAGAAGAGTGGTTTCTCTAAGGCATTTAATTCTTAGGCCTCCAAAAGTTTTGCTGTTTTTTTTTTTTTTCCCTCAACCTTTAGATAATGTGCCTTCATCATTCATATCTATGAAGATGTTACTTGCCACATGTGTGTGTCATGTAAGATTTTCATGGCTCTATGAGAAATATGGTTGCCTTTCCAAGTGTAATTGCATTGGAAAAATATGCAGAGCCATTAGGCCACAATTTCTTACAGGTGGATTTTGTTGTGCAGGGAATAAAAGGCCAGGAGACAGTGCTGAAAATCAAGAGACTATTTTTATTCTTAAACTTATAACCACTGGCCTTTTGAGCAAAGTAGCCTCTAATAAATCTTCCTTTCTGTAGATTACTTCTGCTTCCATGAGGAATGGTCTCTGCAAAGTAGTATCTAAAATGACCCACTCTTTTTTTTCCTTCTCTTTTTAAAAGTTTTAATCTTTTCCTATTTTTTTAAATGTTGGAATGTATTATATATTTGTTGTTGTTTCAAAATAGCTGGCTCTAACACCACTTGCATATAGAAGAAAATGTATCTATTTGCAGGCAAATAACTAGTTTTACTTTGACTGTGATGTACTCCCAGCAGATATCTGAGAGTGAGTTATGACTACATCTTCTCTTGTCAGGTTGTATGCTGGTCAACAATGCTGGCACTTTGCATCAGATCGATATAGAACCCCCTAGTAATATTTTACAATGCATCACATTTTGTGTTCCTGTTACTATTAAAATCAAACACAAAAACAAAACTGTGGCAGGAGTCAATAAACACTGGGTCGTGTTAAATGTCCTGTGCACCTCTATTTACTCTTTTGTCGTTCTGTGGCTAGGGTTGTGGTGGGTGGGTGCAGGACCACACAGCTGGGTGAAGGGTGGTGGCACTGCACAGAGGTGACACTGAAATCTGCTGTTGGGTAGAGTTCTGTTTGCTGCCATCAGCTTGGTACATTTCTTTGGTCATTTCCTGCTATTTTGTAGTTATTTACCTTGCTAGCAACCCTCCTCTTGAAATGCCTATTTGTTTTCACACTCCTGTTGAACCAGATAACATTCTCATGATTCATTTGTTGTCCGATAAGTTTTATTTAGAACAACGTTCACATCCTCCCTCTGCTGCTTTTCCAGCCTGAATCCCACAGTTTTCTTTTGCAGCTGTGCAGGAGGGTTCTGCCCACTCCCACTAACATTGCAGCTGAATGAAAGCCAAGACATTTTAAGTCGTCTGTTAAAGTGCTGTGGACTCTCTTGATTCTTTTGCAATATTGTGAATAGTGGGAATTTCCCCCCCACTATGTAAAAGATGCTTTCTGTCATGGAGGGCTTGGATATGACTTTTTTGTTAAAGAGGGGAGAGAATTCTGTATTGTTTGCCACTTCTTTAAGCATTTCTTTTCCACTGAGGAGTGCTTAGAGCATGCGGTGAAGACCTACGTAAAGCAAAGGAGTTTCTCTTCTAAGCAGGCTACTCCTCAAGTAAAGGTTTGTAGGGACAGCTCAAGAAGCAGTTGGCCATTGGCTATCCAGCTGCCAAGAGGTTGTCTTTTCTCTGAACTCTAACTAAACTTTCTCTAAGCAAATATGTTTGCAGTAATTGTTATCTTACAGCTATTTAGGGGTCTCTTTCCTCCCCCACCTACCCAAAGGGATATGGCTAAATATACTTGCCCTGACAATTCCCATGACTTTTGAGAATGCATCTGATACTAGAGGTTGCACTGAAAATTACAAAGTAACATGACAGTGGAAGAGAGGTTAGTAAAAATTGATTCCCCTTTCCCACATAATTTTGTCTCTATGGAGTACTTCCGACATTTGGTGAAAATCCCATCCTCTTTCACAAAGCATAGATAGAAATGTGTGGTTTTAAATATGTCTTGTGGAAAGAGAGGATAATTTCATTTGCATGTGTGCTTATTTTAAATAATGCTGGACATGCTAAATAAACTACATTAGCCCAGGCACAGACAACAGCAGTTCTCATGTGGTGGCAAACCCACTCACTGTTAGAGTGGCGGTCTGCTGCTTCGCTGGAGACCCACAGTAGTAAATAGTCCTGCTAGAGGTGAGAGAGGAGGCAGTTTGCAGTCCCTGAGCTTAGCCAACACCTTGGAGACTGATTTAGCAGGAGTGGAGTCTGTGTGGCTGCCTAGTCCCAAGGTTTGGGAAAATGGCTCTTAAAAGTGTTGTATTGGGTGGCTGGTGAGAAACAGGGAAAGAAGGACCTTGTGGTCGAAGCTAGTAAGGTTTCTGAAGATC